CGAGCCAGCGCGCCCGCGAGGCCTCGAAGTTCGAGGGGCCCGTCAGCATCCGCGTCACCAGCTCGCCGTCGACGAACGCTTGGGCCGCGAACTTGCGGGCTTTAGCCGCCCGGCGGCCATGCGGCCCGAACGCGGCAAAGTCGACGTGCGGCGCGGACTTGCCGATCTTCGCCGAGATGCCCGACAACTGTTCCTGCGTTGGCCGTGCGGCCGTAGGCGGCGGCCCACCTGTGACCTGGATGTACCGCTGGCGCGCCTCCGTGATCGCCTCGTTGCTGAGGATGCTGAAGGGCCCCTCGCCGCCCTGGTCGAGGAAGTCCGCCGCGCGCCTCTTGTCCCCCACGGCCGGCGTCGACGGCCCCGTCGGAGGAGCGGCCGGCCGGGAAGGCGGGGCCACTGGCAGCGCGGCGCCCAGACTCGGCATCGGCAGCTTCGCTACGTCGAACACCGCGCGGATGGCGCGCACGGCTCGCCCCCGGCCAACGCCCGTCACGGGGGCGCCTTCCACCGCGAGCGTCTCGAGGGCCTGGACTAGGTCGCCCTCGGGCATCGACGCGAAGTCCGTGACTGCGGTGGTCTCGTCGCCGCCGACGGCGGCCACCAGTGCCTCGCCGAGGGGGCCTCCGAACCCAAGGGGGTCCAAGGTGGTCGCAAGTAGCAGCCCCGTGAACGCGGAGGGGGCGGCCCGCAGCCCGAGGCTGGGCGTGCCGGGCATCGCAGACCCCGCTCCAAGGGCCGACCCCGGCCCGGGTGCGAGCCCGGCCTCAGCCGCGCCCCCGGCAGGTGTGCCCATGGCAGCGAAGCCTGCGAACTCCATGTGGAAAGATCGGCGATGTGGGTATGAGAAGAGAAGCCTGGCCCAGGGTGGGCCGAAGGGACTTGGCGCAGCGATCGCTCGAGCTGAGCCAATGGCTACGAGTGCCTTGACTCGCGCTCGCCCAGCCCAATGCGCCTCACTGGCCCTTTGCACTATATCTAATGCACGCACCAATGACACATGATCAGACATGACCCTTCTTCTGTGGCAGCGCTCTAAAGCGCAAAAAAGGAGAGGACAAGGGCAAGGGGCACGCCGTTGGCAAACTCAGGTGCTTCAACATGCTCCGCTGTCTTCTTGCACTGCCACAAGTGTGCCGCGCGCAGCACATGCTGCTTTGCAGCCGGGGGCAGGTCCCAGAAATGTTCAGAACCCGATCCTCAGGAAATGCCCATTCCTCCAAATACTTCTCCCTGACACCTACTCTCCACAAAGACGCCCAAAGAGTGGTGAATTGTTCCTGCTATATAGCTCCACGGGTACATGAGGGGCCTGGGGTGGGCATCCACTTGCAGAGGCTCTTCTGGAGAACATGTTTGGGCAACCACTTCTCGTGAACGCACATGAGGAAAAACTTGACGGGTAACCAGATGGCTTTGATGTTGGGGTTCAGGTCCTTGCTGGGGGCAACTATCAGGGACAACGTGGGGCTCTTACCTGGCGGCTTGTGGTCCTACAACTTGCCTGCAAGGCTCCTCGAAGTCTTGAACTCCCTCTCTTTGACACCCGTGACCGCTGTGCCGTGCGAGGTGGCTCCTTCAAGCGCAGCTCGACTCATTTGCCCCAAGTAGTCTCCTCCGTGCACGTCCTGACTTCAGAGCGGACGTGCGGCCCCGACGTTTTTTGACGGCAATGTACCTGTCCTTGGTGGTGCGCCTGGGTTGGACTCTTCCAGCGGCAAAGTCGACTCCGAGATTGCGCCCAGTCGCCACAGCAAGAACGCCAATCTTCCGAAGCCCACGAACGATGCGTGTGCGAAGGGCTTAGGAGTTACTAAGGACTTTGCTCTTGTCCACAGCGAGCCGCATGTCCACCCTTGCCAGCTCACCAGCCAAACCCGAGACAGCTTCACAGAGCTCGTCTCCAACACGCCCCTCGCCACCGAAGCGCTGGAGGCCGAAATCGTCAACGTTGATTTCTCCTCCTCCTCCTCCTCCTCCTCCTCCTCCTCCTCCTCCTCCTCCCCCTCCTCCTCTTCTTCCTCCTCCTCTTCTTCCTCCTCCTCTTCCTCCTCCTCTTCTTCCTCCTGCTCCTCCTCCTCCTCTTCCTCCCTCTCCTCCGCCTCCTCCTTTTCCTTCCTCTCCTCCTTGTCCTCCTCCTCCTTGTCCTCCTCCTCTTCGTCCTCCTCCTTGTCCTCCTCCTCCTCCGCCTCATCCTCCTCCTCCCCCATTCCGTTTCCTCATAGATAGCTCCTCCCTGTCGCACCCCGAAGCTGGTCGAAACGACGGGCCCGGCGTTTCCCCTGCTAATTAATTCTTCACTGTTATGAGCCGGGCCTTTTAAATTGGCAACAGCTTCCCAGATGGAGGGCGGGTAGTTTTCAACATGTGGCTCTCGCCTTAGCGCCGCGCAGATTTGTTGTTTAAATCTGCAAGAAATTCGCAGGTGGAGAGCGGGTGGCTTTGAAGATGTGGCTTTCGCCTTCGCGCCGCGCACATTCGTTTTAAGCAGTTGCAGTCTTTTAGCGCATTGTGAACACGTCGCTTCCAAAGTGTGGCTCTCTTCTTAGCGCCGCACACATTTGTCGTAAAAAGATTGAGGGCGGATTGAGGGCGGTTCATATTCAAAATCTGGCATTCGTCGTAGCGCCGCGCACATGCGTCTTACAAGTTGTAAGACACTCGCTGGTTCTCATGGTGAACGTACCAGAAACTTCTTTCTAGAACGATTCAGGCTCTTCAGGGCGCAACCGTCACGCTGATTCGCGGTGTTGAAGTCCCAGAAACGGTGTTCTGGCACGGTTCAGGATCGCCTGGACGTAACAAACAGGTTAACTCGTGGCGTTGAATTTCTGAGATTAGTGATTTGACACGCTCAAGGATTTTCACACGGTGGTCCCCCCACGGGGCAGCTCACTCAATGGAAATGAACCATTGCAGGGGCCTGTGAAGAGGGAGCTTGAAGGGAGGGTTTATTCCAACATCGTTGATGAGTCCTCCTCCTCCTCCTGTCCTCCTTCTCCGATGCTCGAGCATCGAGCCTTTGGGGCGCTCTTTGCAATCTGTGGGCCCCCGCGGGCCTCCAGAGACCTCCAGGGGAGGGACCTCGGCAAGGGCCTCCAGAGACTCTGGGAGGCCTCCAGAGACGCTCTGGGTACCTCCGCCTCCTCCTCCTCCTCTTCCTCCTCTCTCCCCCTCCCATCGTCCTTGCCTTCCTCCTCCTTGCCTTCCTCCTCCTCCTCCTCCTCCTCCCCCTCCTCCTCCTGCACCCTTCTCCTCCCTCATCGTCATCCTCCTTCCTCCTTCCTCAGTCCTCCTTCCTCAGTCCTCCCTCCTCGTCCTCCTCTGGTCCTCCTCTGGTCCACCTCCTCCTCCTCCTCCTCCTCCTCCCTTCTCCTCCCTTCTCCTCCCTCCACGTCATCATCACTCCTCCTCCTCCTCGCCCTCCTCATTCCTCCTTGTCCTCCTCGTCATCCTCGTTGTCGCCTCCTCCTCCTCCTCTTCCTTTTCCTTCTCCGGCTTCGTCTCCTCCTCCCCCTCCTCCTCCTCCTCCTCCTCCTCCTCGCCCTCCTCCTCCCCCTCCTCCTCCTCTTCCTGCTCCTCCTCCTGCTTCCTCCTCCTCATCCTGGTCCTCCTCGTCCTCTCCTCCTCCGCCTCATCCGCCTCCTCCTCCTCCTCCTCCTTCCTCCTCCTCGTCTTCGTCCTCCCCGTCCTCCTGGTCCTCCTCGTCCTCGTCCTCGTCGTTGTCGTCGTCGTCCTCCTCCTCCTCCTCCTTCTCACCATCACCATCCTCATAACCATCACCATCAGCACCACCATCACCACCATCATCATCATCACCACCACCAGCACCAGCACCACCACCACCATCGCCGCCACGCCGCCACCACCACCACCACCACATCATCATCATCATCATCATCATCATCACCATCACCATCACCATCACCATCACCATCATCATCATCATCATCATCATCATCATCATCATCATCATCATCATTATCATCATCATCATCATCATCATCATCATCATCATCATCTTCATCATCATCATCATCACCACCACATTAATCATCATCACCACCATCATCATCACCACCATCATCTTCATCACCATCACCATCACCATCATCGTCGTCATCATTAACCTTATCATCATCATCATGATCATCATGATCATCATGATCATCATGATCATCATGATCATGATCATCATCATCATCATCATCATCATCATCATCATCATCATCATCATCATCATCATCATCATCATCATCATCATCATCATCATCATCATCATCATCTTCATCTTCATCTTCATCGTCATCGTCATCGTCATCGTCATCGTCATCGTCATCGTCATCGTCGTCATCATCATCATGAGCATCAGCATCAGCATCAGCATCATCATCATCATCATCATCAGCAGCATCAGGAATGGCGTAAGACTCTCGAGTAAACTCAGGTATCTGGCGGTTCGAACCAAAATCGAGACAAGGTCTTGTTCATGATTGTCGGCACCTTGGCGCCCTGACCAGGCCTCGGGACCGTCAACAGAAGCGACTCGGGACGAAAAACTGATCTTGGTGGAAGTGGTCGAGAGTTCGCGGGCTCGTGTCTCGAAGACATCGAGACGCGGGATGTCTGGGAACACTGTTGAGTGCACAGCGTCACGCTGCGCGCTGCGCGCGTGATCGAATTGGGGCACGCCCGGCGCGCCGGGGCGCCCTGGCGGGCGTGGCGCAGCCTACGCGGCCAGCTCACCGCCGCTCTGCTGCCGCCTCTCGGCGGCGCGCCCACGGGGAGGCGAGAGGGGGCCAAGCCTTCTTGGGAGGCGGCGGGGCTTCTCAGAAGCCCAGGCGTCTTCCGAGCACTCGCCTCCTTCGTCAGAGAGGTGCCTGGAGAGCTTCTCAGAAGACCGGAGGCCTTCCGAGCCTCCTCTGGCCATCGCTCGGACGTCCATTCCCTGTGTTTTTTTCGGTTTCGTGCGTATTTTTTTCGCCAGATGATCAAGGATGCTCCTCGATGGTCCTCGCCGAAGGAAAAATGCACACGTCCGAGCGATGACAAGCTTCTGAGCAGGCCCGCCCCCTCTGCCTTCCCCCCTAGGCGCTCCGCTGAGTCTGGTCTTGGGGGTCGCGGCTCGGCCCCTCCGGCGGTCGTGCGGGACGATCCGGGCACCCGTGGACCGCCCTCGGCGAGGCGCACCCGCTGGAGAGCACCCCGAGGTTGGAAAACCTCCGCGAACGTGCGGGCAGGAACTGTATCCGTACCCAGTGCGTCTGGGATTCCAAAGTCTTGGACTCTCTTCGAAGGGGCGCCACAAGGCCGAGGCGCACTGGGCATGGCTGAACATCGAGCCTCTGGGGGGCAGCCTCATCCGTATCCGGTGCACCTCGGGCTTCTAGTGAAGGGAGCCCGAATCTCCAGGCTGCATCGGATATGGACAAGTATTCCCTGCATGGCGGACGAAAGCGTCCGAAAACCTCGGAGACTCGAACTTCAAAAAGCGTCCGAACAAACACGGTCGAGACAACCTGGGCTCGCCGCCGGGCCTCTGCCACGAGTGGAAGGACACGGTGCACTCTGGCAGGCTCAGCTCCTCCACGTACGCCTCGGTCGCGCCCACCAGCGGCCCGAAGAGCTCCCGCTCCTCGGCGCCGACGCCTTCGGCCTGGAAGGAGTACAGGGTGGGGAAGAACCTCTCCTGTCGGGTGTGACCAGCCTCGACCTCCTCCCTGTCCCTCAGGTCGGCAAGCCCAGGGCGATGACAATCTCAGGGATGTGCCCTCAGAAGCGAGATCGGCACCGAGGTACACAGGGTGATGCCGAACAGAGGGATAGGGATATGCTTCAAGCTGGTATGGGGTGCTGGTCCACGGGGTGTTGGGGGGGGCAATCAACGGGGGGGGTGAAGAAGCGTGCGCCCTTCGTTTTTGCTTCTCCCCAGGGCAAGATCTGTCGGAGAAGGCAGGAAGAGCCTCTCTCCTTTCGGGTGCTCGTGAACGGAGGGGGGAGGCAATGACAAAGGGACGAAACATGGCACAAACATGCACTTTCGACGGCCCGCGCGGATTTCTCGGATCTGCGCTGGGACCCCCCTCCCTGGCGCGCGGAGCGGGCCAGGGGCGGCGCCGTGGTTCCTCTCCGAAAGTAGCGGGGGGTGTGAAGAAGCATGCGCAGCTCGTGCACCTCGTGGTGCCCGCGGTGGCAGTTCAGGGCCCCTTCGGGGCCACTCTCCTGCGAAGCTCGAGATCCACCCACGCTTGCTGCCCCCCCCCACCCAACGTTGCCGTCCGCCCGATCCTTGTTGTCGCGGATGTGCTTCATGATCGGCTCCATGTTCTTGCAATTCACGTTGGCGCGGATCTGGCGGAGCACGAGCGAGTAGAGCCCAAGCACCGGTTCCACGAGGGCCTCCTTATCACAAGAGGACTTGATGTGCCTCTGCTGGCAGCACGAAAACTCTCCTCACAAGCGAGGGACATGTCTACATCAATGCCCTCGCGGTCTGACCAACGAGACGCGATCCCACAAATACGCGATCTCATGGGTACCTTCCGCACGCGGCATCAGCGCAAAGCAGCCCTGCGTCCGCAGGGCCGCGGTCGAGGAATCTGGACCGCGAGGCCGTGGATATGGATATGTTTCCCGCCCACGATCTCCCTCGAACACAAACATGGACAGCGAGGGTAACGTGTCCTCTGTCACTGGTTCCAAGTCCCCCTCGCCGGACGCAAAGATGAAGAAATTCTCGAGCCCACTGCTGCAAATCTTCGCCAGCATCTCCGCGCGGCACCAGCCGCGCGCGTTGTAGGACTGCAGGTCGCAGCGGCGGCTGGACTGGTGCTCTGCTGGCGGCGCGATGATGACGAAGATGTCAGCACTGGCCGAGTACACGGGCAAAGACGAGACAGCCAGCATCTGCATGCCCCGATGGTCCTCCACCGGATTCGCAAAGCTCATCCCAGAGAACTGACACATGTTTGAACTGCGGTGTGTTGGTGTGTGATGAAACGGTCATTGAATTTTGAACGTAGCCCGCCGTTGTACTTGCGCAACTGCCAAGTTCAACCCACTGGCGGCGCGTTTGAGGAATAAATGTGTGCCTCTCATCGAAGGTTGCGCCGCTCGTTTGCTGTGGCTCTCGCTGGGTGCCCCTCATCGAACGTTACGCCGCTCGCTTGCTGTGCCCCCATCGAACTCTACGCCGCTCGCTTGCTGTGCCTCGTTGGAGGAACAATGTGTGTGTGCCCTTCTCATCGAATGTTACGCCGCTCGCTTGCGGGGCCTCTCGCTGGGTCTGCCTGGCCTGCCGTTCCGCTTGCCCCCTTCCGCCCGCCCCTCTCCATCCCGGGTGGCCGGCATTGGCGTTTCTGCTTTTCCCGCGCCTCCTCTTCCTGCCAATCTCTGCCTTTACTGCTCGGTCCAATCGCTGAGAGCAGCGGTTTTGTCCACGCTCCCACCTAAGGTGGTCGATCAGTTTCGAGCATGCTCTGCCATTGCTGTCCCGCTGAGTGGAATCGAGAAAAGTATGCACGTGTGCCCATTAGTCTACCACCAGCTGCTGCTCCGACGCTGCGAACGAGAACAATCTGTATGCTGGTAAAAAAACCGAAGCAGTGCATGCTCGAAGTCAATTGCGATCTCGTGGAAGCTAGATTTCCTAGCCACTCTGTCTCTGGGGTCCTGGGCGATGGAGCAGTAGTCAACCCAGACGTACGTGTTTTCCCAAGCGCACCTGCTGCCCGCGCCTTTGGCGCCCACGCGCGCCGACGCGGTCTTGATCGCGCGCTTCATTGCGTTGAGGTGCGTCTTCGTGGCGTTGTCCGGGAACCCCCAAGCGAGCCACTGGTGAGACAAGAAGATGATGGAGTTGTCTGCCTTGAACATTGCGAGGGCTTCCTCCGTGTCTAAGAACACCAGCTTCCTCGTATTCCGCAGCTCCTCGTAGCTGGTCAGCTGCTCCAGCTTGGAGAACGCATCGGCGCTAATCAAGACCATCGGGTGAACAAGCTTCCCCGCACCACGGACCGCCTTCTCAACGGTCTTGTGAATCCGGCTGGTACGCTCTTCCTCGAGCTGCACTCTCCTATCCATCTCGTGCTCACGCCAGGCCTGCAGGCACGTCGCTGCATGAAAGAAGCTCAGGCGCAGGTCGGAAACTTCGGTGAAAGACCACCTGCACGTCCTCTTGGTCTCCGAGTTTCGCTGCAGCGCGTCCTCCACCTTACGAAGGGGAAGAACCGGAAGGTTGGAGGCGCCCTCCTCCTTCTCCTCCTCGTCCTCCTCCTCCTCCCCTCCCCTCCACTTCCTCCTCCTCCTCCTCCTCCTCCCCTCCTCCTCCTCCTCCTCCTCCTCCTCCTCCTCCTCCTCTCCTCCTCCTCCTCCTCCTCCTCCTCCTCCTCCCCTCGTCGTCGTCCTCCTTCTCCTCCTCCTCCTCCTCCTCCTCCTCCTCCTCCTCCTCCTCCCCTTCCCTCCACTTCCTCCCCCACTCTCACCCTCATGTCCCCGAGCAAAAACATGCTGTCGCGGGCGGCCCGGAAGGGCGTGGAGACAACTCGCGACAAAACCAGAGCAAGCACGCAAGCGAAGGCAAGGATGATGGCGCTCGTGATGCCGAGCTGCAAGTTCAGCTCCTGGGAGGAGGAGGAGGAGGAGGAGGAGGAGGAGGAGGAGGAGGAGGAGGAGGAGGAGGAAGAGCAGGAGAAGGGGCACAACGAGTACAAGGGCATAGGAAGACAAAACTGCACAAACTCCAACTTCTGGAGGTCCGCGCGGCGCTCATAGGTGGTGACAGCCGCACCCGACCCCCGCCAACCATCGACTCTCCTGAACCGATGGGAGACGGGGGCAAAGTTCGGATTTCGCCACATGCTCGATGAATTCCGGACCCCACCCCCGCCGCCCATCGAGTTGCCTGAATCGTTGATCTGCGAGGGGTAGGGCTCCAACTTCGCCGCCGAGCTGAACCCCCCTCCCTGAAGCACGGAGCAAGCCAAGAGGGGCGCCAGAGGCACCAGCAATAGGGCCCAGCGCCGACCCGAGGAATCCGCGCGGACCTCCGAACTGCCATGTTTAATTTAGCATTTCTTCTTCGGGAGGAGGAGGAGGAGAAGGAGGAGGAGGAGGGGGAGGAGGAGGAGGAGGAGGAGGAGGAGGAGTAGGAGGGGGACGTCGACGATGAAAAGGACAGGAGGAAGCGACAGCAAGCTCCTGGGACGCCTCCCTCACGACATCCACACTCGCCATATTGACCAGCACCTTATGTTGCATCGTCGGGGTTCTTGTCTAGCTCATCGCGCCGCTATCCGCGTCGAGTCCGCGTCGAAGTCATGTCGAACTTGTCGAATCAGGGTTGAAACCAAGCAGAATCAGGGCCGCATCAGTGTCGAATCTACGTCGGTTCTGCGTTGAATCCGCTTCGAACACACGCACAAAAAAACACAGCCATACAAGACAGACGAGGTCCCCCGACGTTGCAATGAAAAGCACCATGTTGAGGTTCACGGCCTTCGGGTCGAACATCGACTTGGCGGACACGTAGTACCCAGATATCTCCTGCATCGAGGCCACGCCGGACCAGTCGCACTGCCGGCCGGCGTCGGCGTCGCCGCTGCAGTGGCTCGCGATGAGCTGCCTCGCCACCTTCGTGGGCCTTGGAAACGACATGGCCGTTTTGATAACCGTACCGTTCTAGTTGACCAATTTTTTTCGCAATTTCCGGCGACGTTGTTTTGACGTTTCTGGCGCCGTTGTTTTGCCGTCTTCATTTCCCCTTGTGGGGGCCTGGTCCAAACCATTGTGTTTTGTTAACAAATCCGAACCTTTTTTGAGCGGGTACCGTTCGAACGTCCTTCGGATCGCCAATCTGCCCAAGCCGTTTCGGTGAACCGTTATTTGTCACTTTCGGTGAACCGTTTTTTGCAGTTTTCATGACCAAGAGGCAACTTTTTGGAGTCGGTACACAAAGGCCATGCCGTTTCCAGGGCCCACTACGCTCGCCACCGGCCCGAAGGGGTCCAGCACGTCGATGGAGTCCTGATGGGCGGACGTTTAGGGGGGCCAGGCTGAGGAGGGGGGAAGCATCGACCTGGAATCTTGGACTTCCGAATTATCCAGGATAACTGCGGTCCCAGGAAACTCCAGTTTGGGCCCCCGAAGCGCGAAACTGTAGCGTTACCCCTGACTGCCCCTGGCCCTGCTGATTCGGAAGGGTTGGACGCCCGAATTATCTGGGATAACTGCGGTCTGGGGAAACTCCTGCTTGGGCCCCAACTCAAAGTACCTCAACAGTTCTGGGCCCCCAGACTACAAGGGCCCCCCGGACTGCAAGGGCCCTCCCCCACGGACTACAAGGGCCCCCCCCGACTACAGGGACCCCCCCCAGACTACAAGGACCCCTCCACGGACTACAAGGGCCCCCCCGGACTACAGGGACCCCCCCCCCGGACTACAAGGACCTCACCCGAGCTACAACCACCACGCCCAGCAAAAGTGCTACGGGATGCCACAGATAGACAATTGCCAAGACCCTGAACGACGACTACGAGAACGACGACGACGACGCCGCCGCCCCGCGAAGATCACAATGTCTCCCCCCCCCCCTCGTGAGTACAAGGGCCCCCCCCCCGGACCCCCCCCCCGGGACTACAGGGGCACCTCCTCCGACTACAGGGGCCCCCCCTCCAGACTATTGGTCACCCCAGAACTATGGAGGTACTCAGAGAAAACCGCGAAACTGTAGTGTTACCCCTGACCGCCCCCGGCCCCGATGATTCGGAAGGGTGGAACGCCCGAAATGTTCGGGATAATTGCAGTCCAGGGTACAGTGGAGGCCAGTCCACAAGAAACCCAACCCTGAGACCCCAGGGCTTCCCTGGTTTTTTGGTGTGGAAACGTCGCGCTTTCCATGACAGAACCATCGAAATCCAAAAAACCGCGGGCATCCTGGAGGCCAGCAGGGTGTTTCTTGGTATGGGCCTCCACTGTAACTCCAGTTTGGGCCCCCAAAGCGCGAAACTGAAAAGGAAGAGGAGGATGAGGAGGAGGAAGAAGAGGCGGAGGAGGAGGAGGCGGAGGAGGAGGAGGAGGAGGAGGAGGAGGAGGAGGAGGAGGAGGAGG